GAGAGAGAGAGAGTTAAAATCATCTTTATTAAGTTTTGACAAACAAGACGGATAGTTAAAACACCTTGGTCATGGTCAATTCCTTAATATGAGTTAAGGAACTCACGGGGTGCAAGGTAAGTACTAGTAACAAGTTTCAATTAAATCTACATGTATTGTGTAATAACTATTATATGGTGCCTCCAACAGTCACTGAACAGTGCGGTTTTACAGTGCCCTTAAGGATTCCCGACCCAGGCTACGGACTATGGACTAATGAGATGGGATTACGGTTTGGAAAATAAACAAGTTCGCCAGAACATGTCAGACGAAGGCAGCAGAGCACTACGACATGCCAGTGTCATCACTAACGTGATGTTGGGCATTAAAGAGAAGAAGAAGATATGGTGAATATATCAAACTAAAAGCCTTTGGCTGATTTTGTTCAAGCATTAGTCATAGTTTAAGTGACTACTCTAGATCGCTTTGAAGCTGAGGCATAGAACTTAATGAGTGGGGAGTAGAAGTAGAAAGTGGTGATATATATAACATGTGTTCTTTCGACTTGAAAGACTTATCGCAGATCTAGTATAACTCCATTTTAGTAGTATATAATGTGTTTAGCTAAAGTAGGCACTTGGCGATCAGTATTGTCTTGTTATCCTTGAGGCACTGCAGCTAAACACCACTCAAACTCGGTCTTATTAGTATCGTTGGACCGATTGGTGTTAGGTTATGTCATCGAACCTGTTTTTAGATCAGAAATGTGAACATCCATCCTGAACCATCCTCCCGAGGCAGGGTTGCTTCCTCACTTGTAATCCCAAGGCTAAGTAACGTATTTGCCGCGGGATAGCTCTGTCGTGTCCTGAACATGGTGTCTCTAGTCTTTGCCACTGTAGTTTTGTTTTACCTGACAATGTCTGACGGTAACCGACAGAAAAAAAATGTCTCATCCGAATTTCGAGCTCAGTGCTGATCGCCATGATACTACCAAATATATTGCCTAATGCTTCTGCTTAAATATAGAAAATAGATAATAACGGAGCAACAACATGTATACGAATAAGATTGTCTTAAGTATAATTTGAGAAGGAAAATAAACTTTAAATAGCACGATTGTTTCATAGGAATGAAAGTGTAGTATACAATAGCTGTTACACCATCCTGTCAGCTACTTTATATTTACAACATTCACATCAACCATTATACGTGCTGTCGACTAAAACACAAGGATTGTATGTAATTGTTGCCACCCATATGACCAACAACACTCCATGAACATCAAACAATAAAATACAACTTCTGCTCCAGTTTACAGAGATTTTCTTGACTGTCATTTCAGCTATAGAGTAAAATAGGAACTCAGACCTGGGCTAACCGCCACATCATTTCGTATTCAGCAGTATATATCTGGAAAATTTCCATCTCCACCTGAAGACACTGCATCACAAAGTGACATCTCCTTCATTTACCATTAAGTGCTTGCAGCGATGTACCATTCACTATGCAACTTACTCCACATTACAGTTACATAACAGTATTTAGGTCTGCCAACACCTACCTCAATAACAAAGTATCAAGGCAATCAAGCCTCTACCAGGCTTTGGAGGCACCTGTGGAAAGTTAAGAAACATGTCAGGTGAGTTGGTACGCTAAGGAGTACACCAGGGTGTGGCAAGCTAAATGTACATGTAGCTTAAAGTGCGGATTAAGACCCCTGGAGTGTTATTTGCCAGTTTCTATTATGTATAGCCGCTTCCGAAGCCTGGTAGAGACAATCCACTCAGGTATTTTGAGTTCAGCCAGTTCCCATTTACAAACGGAAGGAACGACGTCACACATATTTGCACACAGACCAACGCGACCTTAAACTTTACCTTCTGGCGGAGGCAATGAAGTTGTGAAGTACGTGTAATGCAAAATTGGGTGGTGTTTTGACATAAACAGGTAGATGTCGCTGTTTTTCACCACCCTTGTGGGTGTTTTCAATTTTCAAACACTAAACACGTTTGTGTCACCTATTTTGATGACCAATCACACGATCCACTTTTGTTCGTGATGTAACACACCCAGGTCTTCTTTTTCCCACGCATCTGGACATGCAGATCTAGTGACTTTCGACCCTGGGCCTGATGTGGTTACTGATATAACTTGGTAAAGTTCGCACGATGTACATATAAAGAAACTGTAAGGGACAGTACGATATTTAGCGGCTGGTAGGGCCGGTCGTCTGGGGGGAGGGTCAAGGAAATTTTTTTTGGCTTTAAAAGAATTCGAAGGTGTCATACCTACATGAAAATATTTAGAGTCTTTGGGTCTTTGTTGTTTTTGAATTCGTCTCATTGATCATGGAAATGATTGGAGATGAAGTACTGCAATCTATTTTACTACAATCTAATCTAATTTAATATAATATGGTTTTTTCAACTCAAATGACATACTAGTACTAGTATACAGTATTTCATATGTTAAAAGGCGATCCTTTGGCAAGGTTTTCAAACATCGATATCCTACGTATACCATCAATTACTAGTATACAAATGGTCCATATTAACATGATATATGCATATTGATGTCATGAACTAACTTTCGCATGTAGCAAGTACGAATTGACCACCATTTACCAATGACCAATCATAGTACTTTTGCATTAATTATGCAAATGGTATAATTTGTATCTTTTAATGCTCCACTTGTTATAGATGACATACATTACGAGTATCAAAGTTTAATTGTGTACAACAATGGAATTTTTTTAATTTCCTCATCAATTTTTCTTAATTTCCTCATTAATTGTGCAAATTAAGTCTTCATTTACATTACTTACAATGTATTGCGTACATATCTGGGTACGCTACCTACATTAAAAAAATTATGAAAATTCGTTGTACCTTTCTTGATTTCGCTGCAAACTTCCTGTTCAAACTCTGTGCCCCGTACTGGGCAACATATCAAAGATACGAAAACCGAGAGAATTAACCTTTGCTATACAAATTTGTGCATGTACATGTACAATTGTTCATGTACTTTAACAAGTTAACGTTACAATTGATCATGTAACGTTAGATGAAAATGATATAACTGTAAATGTAATCAAGTCTACTTCATCACCATGGCTTCTCTAGTGTTAAGACTAAAGAGCATGGGCCGTTAGGTCCTTAGTTCAACGTTAAGCTCCAACGTTATGCTCAAACATTCGGCGTGTACGTAGTTTTTTTGGCACGACTAATACAGCGAATTGACTATCGCAAGGCAAGTAGTTGAAGCTAATTACGCGTAAATGATGTGTTGAAATCAATTTTTGGATGCTGTCGAGTGGTTATGAGAAGTTTTTGAAACTCCAAAAGAAAACCTTGCTCCTGGTGGGGATCGAACCCACGCCCTTCGCATTGCTCAAGTAGGAGCGCCTATACTGCTGTATAAGTACGACGCGCTAACCGATTGCGCCACAGGAGCTAGCTGGAGAGGAAGGGCCGTTCTATAGGTATCCAAACACTAAGGCCAAATCAGCTAGCGTTAGTGGATAGAAATTGTGATAGATTTAGCGAATAAATTGTTCATAATAGTCATTTATAATCATACATACTTATAAAGAAAGCCAAGACTACACAGGCCGCCATTTTTTTGGTGAAATTTGACGACATTCTACCGTATATGACGTCAGAGGCAAAAACAAAATGGCGACGGCCATACGTGTCTGCTTCCGCATTCGTCAACAAAACAGACGTTTTTCGCCAATTTTCTTCTAAAACGGGACTCGAGACAATAATATTCAACAAAATGAGTTGGTTCGAGCCATCATCTTTTACCAGTCTTGCCAAGACGGCCCTGAATTCGGCACAGAAGTCGATAGACCGGGTTTTGGACATCCAAGACGAAGGCGGGGAGACTGGTACCGGAGCTGCTGCCAGCTTGTCACAGACAACAGGTGCCGATCTTAATTATTTCAGTCTACTATTTTAAGACGTTTGCGTATAATTTGCATACATTTATGTTCTATGATGTACGGCCTTCCTCAGTCACAAGTTTTTTTTCGATAAATGGAAATCTTAGCAAACTATTGAAAAAAAAAGTAATTTGCCCCCCTCCCCAATTTGAGAAATTCTGAAAAAACAAGGATTTCGCCATGTACAAAATCTACATGTACAAATGCACATGCACATATGAGAAAGTCGTAGAGTTTGGTAAAGGCCAAAGAAGAATTGCATACAGGTATAAATTATAGCTCCCATAATCTATGTTCTCAAAAATCTTGTGCTAGTGGGAATATCTGTATCTTAAACTTGTAAAATTACGGTGTCATGTTCTTGGTCTTAGCTGAAAGAATGGATGCAGACAACATCCAAGGATACATGCATGATTTCTAATGGTGTACTGTTAGATTTTGTTTTTGTTTGATCTACCGGTAAAGCACCAGAAATGTATGTAGTATTTACATGCTGCATAATTATCATAAGCCCAGAATGTAAGGTTTGATGCACTCACACCAGGAAGGATAAGTAAGTAGTAACAAGTGCAGCAGGTTCTTAAATGTGCTTGAGGTGTGGCTCTTCTCAAACATGGGACTTCTAGGTTTACTAGCTAATCAAAGGTCCTAAGTACTAGTAGTAGGGTTACTGCTAACTAGTACATGTATGTATAGAAGCGTTACTCATACTTGAATTGAGTGAATGCCAGTACATAGAAATTCCCAAGGTCACAACTTTGCAATCTGTCAGCTTAGGTGTCCAAAGTTAGCCTGGTTACCAAACTGTTGTTTTTGCTGTTGAGTCTCTTCTCTCCTTTTAGCAAATAAAAAGAGACTTTGCAGCTAAAATAGATAGATTTGGTAACCATGCTAGTTCAAATCAAAGTCAACAACACTAATAACCACAGGACAATTTTCCGCAGTTAAGAAGTCCGCCTCCGGTGGCAGCTGGACATCCTGGATCTCACCAACATCCAAACAGAAATCCTCGTCTTCCCCTACACCATCATCTGCTCAGAGGAAAACATCTCCTCCAAGGTACTGTGCTTACTATAGCTAATCTCAAAGTACAAAATGTAGAAGTCATGCCTTCAATTGTTATCAACCAAGGATTGAGGAGTTCAAAAACTTGTTTTTCCCTAGAACTTTTACTGTGTAGAACTCACTGCCACCAAGTACAGGAGCATCCTTACTAAATACTAGTAGCTTTAAACAATGTTTACAGTTATTCAAAAGGTTCAAGATTTTACCCAGATACAGAATCTCATTCTGACTACCACACTGTAAGTTATATTAGAATACATGTACTTCATTTTTATATTTGTTTATGTTTTGTATTTACTTCAGGAATGTAGAGACAGATGAATTCTTCGCAGACTTTCTTGGCGGAACTTCAAAGCCTGGCAAATCTCCCAGAGTAGACTTGAAACAGCCTGCCAACACCACACCAGTACCCAAACAGTTACCTACCACCTCTCCATCTGAGACCAAACTGTCCCCCCGACCAGGAGGACTTAACGCACTGTCTCCCAGTGACAAACAGAAGCAAAGAAAAAAGCAACCAGGACAGTTCAAACTCCAGGTTGCTACGTCCCCAACATCCTCAACACCACAGGCAAAAGAAAATGTAAAAAATGACGCAGTGGTTTCCATTAGCCTTACAGAGGAGAGAAATACGTCAGGAACTAGAGAAAGCTTGGACGTCATGTCTACTAGTTCCCACTCGGACTTGTCTGCGAGTTCTGAAAGTCAGTCTGCATCGGAAAGCAGTCAGGAAAAGGAAATGGATTCGAGCGGCACGGGAAATGCCTTTAATAAAATGGTGGATCCTCTCGGAGGTTTCAAGCTAGATGAAATTCAGATAAATCATTTGGAAAGTGAACCAGAAGTCAAAGGTCTCACTGTGGACTCCGTAGGTGTGTCTAGTAGTTCTAGTTTAGAGAGTGGAGAAAAAGAAGACAGCAAGAACGGACAAAATGCCAATTTTGATACAAGCACTACTGCCAGTTCAGTTATAGCAGACAATTTGAATATCAGTGACAATGCTCAAGCAGAAACGATATTGAAAACGACACCAGATGATTCGAGTATGTCAGCTTCGGAAGACGAGAACAAAACACAGACACAGGCAACCAGTCAAGAACAAGTTGGAGACGAGAACATGACAAATATCTGTGATTCAGTACAGACTGTAGATAGAACAGCACTTGAAACATCTATCCAACAGACAGCAGTGTCAGAGGAAAATGAAGAAATCAGCTTAACCACGAATTTGGACGAAGTTACAAGAAACAATACAGAAGAAGATGATCTAAGCCTAAGACAAGACGAGCCACAACACTCAAGAGAAGAAGAACCACCTCCTGTGAGGAAAGAAGAATCATCTGATGTTGAAGAAACAACTTTAACTGAAGTCTCTTCAAGTAGTGTAGAGAAGGAAATGCCAAAATCTATTAGCCAAGAGGAAGACACTACTGCCACTGGTCAGGAAATGTACAGAGAACATGACGCTAACCCTGAGGCAGTGGACATGGAATGGGATTGTGAGAAGGAGGAAAATGTTTCTCAAGATATTCCTGATCCTTCAGAGATTTGTGAAGAAGAGGAGGAAGATCAAGGTAGGATTGAAAAAGATTTGCCAATGAATTTGTCATAATTTTTTTATATCTCCTTCCCACAGTGTAGGGGAAAGAGAAGACAGCATTACATTGTATTACAAAAAATACCTGTACAATCCTGTATGTAATTTCCATCCATTTTTAGTTTTTTCTTTTGACATCCTGTTCCATTGTTGTTTGCCAAAACAAGGTTAACATTTTGTGCAAACCTGCGGAAGCTAAAGTGCAAATGGGTAGTACAAATGTACTAGTCTATTGTGCCCATCATAGTTCACATAATGTCACTGTTCATTGAAACGTACATGTAGTCTCTTGTTAAACAAGACCGGTTGTGGATAAAGAACTTATGTATGACACTAAATCATGCTAATTTTGCCCCTGAAGTACCCAACAGTCCAAAGGAACACAATCACGAGGAGACAGACTCAACTGACAAAATAGGTCAGTACAACTGTTGTTTTTTTCAGATGTCAAACTACTTTTTGCTGGTTGTTTGAGTATAAAGTCTTTAGTAAAGCTGCTTTGTCTGTTTGAATTTGTTTTGTTCCCCTGTGAAATACCATACCCGTTATTCTTATGTTGGAAACCCACAGATGACCAACCTGAAGAACCATCAGAGTCAAGAGACACCCAACATGTGAAGACCCTAGATGATACAGGTAAGCCAAACAAAACAAGGTTTAAGATTAAATTATACCCCATTTTTTTCCATCTTATCATCAGGATGGTAGGAATGAAAAACACATTTGTAAATTAGTGATTCCCATCTACATTATGAACATTTGAAAGCCATGGTCTAAAATATCAAGTACAACAAATGTATCACTAACAGACCATAAGTAACCTTATTTTCCCCATTCTCAAAAGATACAACAACTGAGTCCATTCTGGATGTAGAGTCCGCAACCGGACCACTGGACAATGACACAAGTCCAGACTATGTCCAGGACAGCAGTGGTCAGCAGGAACAGCTAACTGAAGAGGACATTCCATCACAGAATAATGCCCTGGACCCACAGAAGTTACTTAAGGTATGTTGGGATTTTATCAGAGTTGTAGGTAGCCTGGTTACCAAACCTTATAGGTAACCAGGCTAAGTTGTATCGAGTTAGCAAAATATTTCAACCAGATTTTCAATCAAATTGATGTTGTTTGTTTTCATTTAAAAACAACAGAACAGATAAAGGCAGTCAAATTGGCATGGTTATCACATTAAATTTGTTTATTATTGGTTAGGACCATCTTGAAATGACGACCATCTTGAAATGAAAGGACAGTCACTTATAGTTATAGCAGCTTTTCATTTGTGGTGCAAGCTTCCACAGTCTTGGTGTGCCCTCTAGTGACTTTTGACAAAAGTGCAGAGTAGGTAAGCTATGCATATAGGTGAATGTTGCTAGCCATTGCAAATGAATACCATTTCTCCATACCTTGTTGAGCAGAAGCTGGCCGACATGGCTGAAGTACTACAGGCGAGAGAAGCACGACTTCTGGAGCTCAGTAAACAAAATATGGACCTGGAGGAGACAGGGAACATACTCAGGGCGTAAGTGTTGTCGACACTTATTCTGCATCCTTGTGGTATCATAAACAGACTTTTTAAAAAATGAGTACAAGACATATTTCCATTAAATACACTGACTCTGATAGTCTTAGATTTGACTTTTGGGTAGCTAAGTTGTGTTTTTGCTTGTCCTTGATAGCTTCAGTTACATGATGGGTGGCCCGTAATGTATTATGCACAACATTTTGGCAGAATGTCTTGTTCCCGTATTTAAGGATGACATTCCCTGTATAGTTTTCAAATGCTGTGCTAGAAGAGATGCCGTCTGCAACAGACAAAATTTTGAAGCGTTGACCAAAAAGTCAATGAAAACTGTGAAAAATTTCCGACATGCTAACCTTAATTTAGCATACTGAAAAACACTATGTGAGTGTACTTTGATTATCACCCTGCCTACTCTGATGTTTCAGACAACTACATCAGGCTGAGCAGGCTCACGAGGCAGAAATGACAGACATCAACAGTTTGACAGAAGAGTTCACAGAGAGGATTGCAACTACAGAAAAGAAACTCCAGGGAGTCATGAAAGTGGGTATAATATATGTACATCACTTTACAACTAGGATTTAAAGTTGTAAATGGATCTCAATTGCTTCAAGATTTGTAATATGTGAATTCTCAGACAAAGTTGACTAAAATTGAAGTTTAAAATTAGCAGTTGGATACAATAAAATTATTATTGGTCAACCTTGTTTTAATAACTAAAGGTACATGCAGGTAACCTACATTTGTAAACTGTATGTACTTTGTTTGCAGTTCAGGAAGGAGATGTTGATAATTTTGCATGTATTTTGTTTACAGGAAAAGGAGACCCTGAGTAGACAGTTAAAATCCAAAGAAGAAGAACTTTGTCGAAGGTAACTACATTATTATATGTTGTATATTCCACTAAAATTTCACATTGTTTACATTAAATGCTCTATTGCTGATACATTTTTACCACTGTATACAGACTGAGATGTTGTTTTCAGTGTATCTGTTTGAATGTTCCTTGTGATAGGAAGTTAGGTCAAATGTCCCAGAAACTCGTATTGACATACTATATGTTATACAGGGTGAATGACAAGCAGATGGCACAGTTACTACAAGAAAAGGATGAACAGATAGAGGCACTGATGGAAGAAGGTATGCTGATTACTTTAAACATTTTGTGTGTTATATTCCTACTCAAACAGAAACGTAGGTTTAGCACAATCCCAATTTTTATTGCAATAGCCCTCTAGTGGAAAGGGAGCCTTACCATTTAAACTACAGTGTACCAGAGTGGTAGTCACTATGAAAACTATGAATTTTGTTTGGTTGAAAATTCAATAAATTATCCATTTTCTCCAGGCCAGAAGTTGTCCAAGCAGCAGCTGCAGAGTTCCAACATCATCAAGAAACTCCGGGCCAAGGAGAAGGAGAGCGACGGGGTCATAAAGTCTCAGAAGTAAGATGTTATACAGTAGGTCTACGTTTTGGTTGACTAACTTGAGGGTTTGTATATGTATGTATGTATGTATGTGTGTATGTACACGTAGTACATTATGTAGGTTGACAGCATGTGGTGGGGGGGGAGATTGACAGGCAAAATGCCTATAGATAAAAAGCTCAGACATGTTAGGAAATGGGGTGAACTCGACAGTACAAAATAATGTGATATGTGTGTGGAAGATTGAGACAGAATGACAGGTGGTCAAAAGGCCGGACATAGGAAATGGGGTGAACTTGATAGTAGGTTGACAGCATCCAAGGGGCAGGGGGAAGATTGACAGACAGGATTACATGTACAGGTTAAAAAGTCAGACATACATTTATGAAATGGGGTGAACTCCAAGTACACAAAAGCCAAAAAAACTTCCCAGGAGTCTAAAATCTCTGATTTCTTGTTGATATTACAGAGAAAGACTGGACAAGTTGCAGGAAAATGTAGATCACCTCACGCATGTCCTTGATGCCAAGGAAGACATTGATAAGCAACAAAAAGGTTTGACATATTTGTGTTTTTCCGTGTGTATTTTGAAATTTTGTGAAAAATCCCTTAAGTTTGGATAATTCTTAATACTAAGTCTTCAGTAGTCCAGTGGTTAACAACCCTGCCTCTGACCAACCCTGAGTTTGAAATTTGTGTTTCTGTGATAGCTCGACTTACAGCCAGAAATTGCGTGCTTGATATATATAAATGAGGTCATAGAAGAACATTCCTTAAAAGACGATACATGTATGATATAATGTTCTGACTTCTATCTGTAGATGCCATCAAAAAGTTGAACTCAGCCCTGGAGAAGCAAACAAAAGAATTGACAATAGCCAAGGTATGTATCTTTTATTGCTCATGACAAGGTATATATATATACATTGTGTTGTTGTACTTTTACGATAGAAGCAAAGATTTGACTCCCATGTTAACTATTTTCAGAGTGAGCTTGAAGAGGCCCAGGACAGAGTACGCAGTATGCAGTCTGCACTGGACAGTTCTTACAAGTAGGTTTGAAAATTTACAAAATTGCTCTAAGGCCACACCAATTTAATTTCTTGGTTAACGGATTCGCCGCTTCATTTTTTTCTGATTTGCAAATAAAAATAAAAATTCAGAATCAACTGCAAAATGCTCATATTTTGCCCTGAACAGTTGAAAACAGTCCTTTTCTTACTACTTGTTACAGTCATTCCATCTTTCAATGCAATAGTATCATTAAAAGTTCAAAATTCATTGTTTAAATTTTGAACCACCCTGGTGTGTTGATTTCATGGCTCCTATGGTACCGTTTTGGGCCATAATAGGATGTCTAGGCCTGTTTTTATTTTTATTTTTTTTTCGCCCGCCTGCTCCAGAAAAATGTAGAAAAATCCGTTAACCAAGAAATTAAATTCGTGTGGCCTAAACCTAACAACAAAATACACAGTGAGTTTGTATACCAGAATGATTCTCAATTAAAGTATAAACGGACACAACCCATATGGCATATTCATGTACCTTGTACATTTTGTACATTTACAAGCTCCCACAAGACTTAAAATGGTGTAAACTTTCTTGCCAGAAATTTGTGCAAGAAACGTCAATGGCTGCTATATATACGTATTTCTTTTTAAACAATGTTTTTCAATTAATTCATGTCTTGATTAGGGCTTAGACCCCCCACTTTTTTTGCCCTGCGGCTAGTTACATCCGCATTTGTTGTGCTGCGCTGCAGTGTAATCGTACTTATACAGAGTGCTACCCCCTATATAGATAGTACTGTATGCGCAAAACAACAATTGTTGGGCTCTACAAGACAAGGGTTAATCAGGAATTTACTGTACCTGTTGCTGGTTCCCCACAGGGAGATCGGTGAGCTGCACAAGGCCAGTGCTGCCAGGAACAGCCAGATGCAGGACATGACCTTGAGCGCACAGCTGCAGGCTAAGGAGGAGCTGCGACTGGCGCTGGAACAGGAGCAGGAGAGGGCCAGCCGAGGGCACGAGAAACTGCTGCAGCAGGTCAGATCTTCATTCCTGTTCCACATAGTATTACTGTACATGTACATCTTCATTGACAAATGTTTGAAATTGACAAATGTTTTTGTAGTGACCTCACAAGTTTATATTGCTGGTTCGGTTGTATCGTTAGTTGACATTATTTCTGCTGTTGTTGTTGTACTTTTCACAACTACAGTACATGTACTTGTATCAACCACTTATTCAGCTTTAACCCTTACATACATTGAATTGCATTGCACAAGAACCCGCTTACCCTAATTTGTTAATCAATGTTTTGCATCAGTTTTGCACAATTGCAAGTACAAGCTGCGTAAGACTGGACTGTAAGGTTTGATCTATGTAGCAAACACGCAGTAAAATTTCAATAAGTCTAGTTGGATCTTTAAATTGCTCAATGTGTGGCTATCTTCAAACATGGGGCCTCCAGCTTTAAATCCCATCCGAGTGGACGTTCCTGATCAAATATAAACTAGTAATGTTACTCATTTTTACCCGAGTAAAAAAAAGTTGTTTTTTATCTAACAAAAAAAGAGAACATAAAAGGTGGAACCATCCAACACAACAGTTCAGAAAGAGGGTTTTAGGTGCCTTTCCCAAAGGAGAGCAACTTTGGGGCCTGCTATGGATTCGAACCCAGAACCTTTAGCTAAAGGTGTCATGATTTTTTCTGTTTTCCAGGTAGAAGACCTGCGCCTGAGTCTGCAGCGAGCAGAGACGCAGCAGAGCAGACAGGAGGACCTTTTGCGGCAGGAGATCAGCGACATGCAGCAGAGACTGCAGCAGGCTGATGCTCGTAACCAGGAGCTCAGCCAGTCTGTCACCGCTGGTGGGCACACTTTTAACAATATTACTGGATCAATTTTTGATCAATTGCTGATGTCACATATCTGTAAAGTCATGTGTGAATAAGGTAATGTGTCTGTAACTGTAACTCTCACGAGATTATGTTTCAAAGTGGTTGGTCATTGATTATCCTGATGAAAACGACAGTAGTCGTTGAAAATTTGATCTTTGATGTAATCCTCGTGTTGGAATAAAGTTCAACATTTTACTATCATGATTTCTACCAAGACAGATGAACTTTCATGACAATTACTGGAGTTTTAGAATTTTGCAGTGTACTTAAATTTGTGTTCATATACATGTATGGTCTGGTTTCTGTTGTGTTACCAGAGCTGGAAATTTGTTTTGAGAAAAGGTGCAATGGTATGCCTAAACTAAAAATTTAGGTGCTCAGGAAGAAATTGACTGCTTAACATGAAATACAATGTTGGTGGGCACAGTTTTCACACAATTACTGGATTTGGAAATTAAAGTGTTTTTAAGTTTGCTAAGTTTAACACAAATAGTTGTTTCCCTGAAATTCCAGTCGTTAACACAAGTTGGGAAAGTGACAACAGCTGGGATTCACATGCCCAACCTCTTGGTCCAGAGGCAGGGTTGCTAACCACTGGATATGCTACTTCATGGCGCTGTGATGATCTCTGAATATGTGTACAATTGTCATGTAATGTTCAAGTTTAAAAACTAACATAATTGTTCTTTTTTTTCTGGTCCCTACAGCTACCAGACCCTTACTGAGACAGATAGAAAACCTACAGTCTAACTTCTCTGCACAGACATCTACTTGGGAAAAAGTGGAGAAGAACCTTACAGAGAGACTTGGTAAGAAATATGTACTGACTTACATTTTGACATGCCTGAATACTGTTAAACTACAGTCTGAGGTAGCCTGCAGCAAGTACACACTGGCCAGCCTCAAAACAGACTATACAGTATGACCCTATGTATGTGTTTGATTTGAGTTGATTTATTGAAATTGTAACAATACAATACACATTTTGACAAAGGCAGCTGTTGCTGGTGTTGTGTCTCACATATAGTAACAAATACAGGACAGGCAATACTCATTTTCACTTGAATTAAGTGAAATTCGTGAAAAGTGCCTTTCCCAAGGGCACCAGTTCAGTGGCATGTCAGGACTCGAACCCGGGATCTCTTAGTGCCGAGTCAAGTACTCTGCCATTACGCCACACGACCCTACCTTTGTTTAACATCTCTCTGCCATTTCCAGCGGAGTCCCAGAGTCAGTTGGCAGAGGCGTCAGAGAAAGAGCGTATGGCGACGGAAACCATGATGGAGACCAGAGCTCGGCTGACGTCGCTGGAGTCCAAGTGCGCCCTGCTCAGGCAGGAGAAGTCTCGTCTGCTCGCAGAGATCAAGATGGAGAGGGCAAAGGTCAACAACATGGAGGACGCCAGGCACAGGTAGGGGGTCAAGGTTAAAGTTCAGAGTTCAAAGGGGCATCTTGCTGCTAAAAGATGTTTCAACATGTTTGTGCAGTGTTACTTGTACTGTTAAGAATTTGTTCACATGTCCTAATAGCTATAAAATTCAAACTTAAAATCTTTGAAACATTAGATATTCTTAGAAACTTGATTTTATGCATATGTATGATGTAATGAGCAGAGGACCTTTATGAGCAATTATGCTTTAAATATCTGATGTAAATGAAGTGTGAATGAAGTATAAAATAGAACTTTTTAAAATGTTTGGATTATCAAATACAGCATTTTGTGCACTAGACTGTGTAGCTTTGAGTTCATTACTTGATACTTTGACATCCCCAATCTTTTCTCAGAGAACAAGCTCAACTCGAGGCACTTCAGAAAACATCAGAGAAACAGAAAGAAGATTGGACCAAAGAGAAGGTGGGAATTTATCCAAACTGTTCGTTGTAATTTCAGTTTTTCAGTATTTGAGGCCACACAAATGTAATATGTTGATTCTCCGATTATTTTCTTGAGAAAAAAATATAATGCAACCGGGAAAAAACAGGCTTTTGGCCTGTGCGTAGAGTTGTCTTTTCCTATCTCTAATCAACATGATTGTGTTGACTGAGCTTCTTGAAATTTTGATTCCAGCTTCTTCTGGAGAACCAACTTGAGATGGAGCGTTTGAGAGTCGATACAGAGAAGAAGAAGACAGTTTTGGCTCAGGAGCAGGCACAGAGGGACAGGGTAGGTGTCATTCCTTTTTTTCATAAATAGAGTAAAAAAAAAGATAATAAAGTAATAAATGATGTGGAAAAAAGTTCAGGGATATTTCAATTCATACTTTTGATTTTTACAAACCTGCAAAGTTTCACCCAGATTGAAAAATAATTGGTGTTTGGCGATGTATGTCTAGATTCAGAAGGCCAAAACATAATATTATGTTCTGATGTGTGGATAGTGTTCAGCACCACGGACAGACCTCTGTATGGATAGTGCTCAGTAACAAAGACAGGCCTGGTCTTATGTATGGGTAGTGTTCAGCACCAAGGACAGACCTGTTCTAATGTGTAAATAGTGTTCAGTACCAAGGACAGGCCTCTGTTTGGATAGCGTTCAGCACCAAGGACAGGCCTGTTTATATGCGTGAATGGTGTTCAGCACTAAGGGCAAATGTGTTCTTATGTGTTCAGTACCAAGGACAGGCCTTTTCTTCTATGTTGATAGTGTGCAGTACCAAGGAAATGCCTGTTTTGTATGGATAGTGTTCATTACCTACAGTGCGTTCTTTAGTTATCAGTTTAAATGTTCTACTCTGGCTTCTTTTTACAGGAGTTATTGCAGAAAGAAAGGGTATAGTTGCTCTACAATGTTATTTTTTTGGAATGTAAGGGTATCTTTGGTTGGGATCAAGGAACAAATGGTCACCACATACTTTGTAATATTAAAATGCAATTGCACACGTTTTTAATCTATAATCAAATTTTATCACTGGCACTTACATTCAACCAGTCCTGCACAATTTTAACAAGCACAATCTCAAGCATTCTAATAGTGATTCTGGGATTTTGTAAAATTCCCCTTTTTATCTATGGTAAAGTTGTATGCATTGTACTTCCTGCACAAAAGTTATGACTACATGTTTGAAGATACAATAATTACAATATTCATTTCACAAACAACTGTCTTCTCAAAGCATAATGAAGTAGAATTAACAAGCTACACAACTCTACAAGATCCTGATCAAAGTCTTTGTCAACAGTAACTCTGATCAAGATGCTGTTGTTAATGTGTTAGGATGATCTCAAATTTACAAATCCTAACTAAATAAAGTCAACCCATTCATCTAAAGTGACATGAATCAAAGATTGAAATCAAAACTGTCTTGTAAGTAATATTGCCAATTTGACCATGATATCAGAGTCTCTAACTAGACAATATAATACATGTACATTGTTCATACATACATACCTACATACATACATACATACATACATGCATACATCACATGTCTACAAGTCAGTTTACATTCTGTGCTGATTGAAAGACACAGTAACATGAGCCAGCCCTATTGTTGTGTTACAGGACAGACAGTGGTCAAAGATAGAACACGGTTCCCGCTCACATTCACGCTCCAGCTCTGTCAGCGATACTTCACAGAATTCATCCTTCTTCCAGCCCATCCAGGTATGTTCTTTTTATTCAGGTATGTTCTAGATCGTTTTCCAGAAACAAAAGAAAGCCCCCTGTCTTTTTGTGCATTTATTTTGTATCAATGGCCATCAGATTGGCAGTGGTAGTTCCCTATCCTGAAAAATAATTAGACAAGCATAAATTGAAAAATGCAGTACAATGTAAATATAAAGAAGGTAATTTGATGATTTTCATACAAGACATACAAAATGTATGATCCAAGGAAAAATGTAATAACTACATGTAATATGTAATGATTAACTTTGGTTAACTCAAACTGTAAAATTGGAGTTAAAATAGCACTAGACTACATTTTGTAAATATTGAGTATCAAATAACATAAAGGTCATACATGTATTCTGACCAACATGGTATAATTTATATATTTGTACTTTAGACACAACACCCTCAAAAAGGCTATACGATCTTTTCCTTTTACCTTTTATTATTTTGTAAACTCACTGCACTTTGTTGTTGCCCTGCTAGGGGGACACCAGTGATACAGGCTACAGCCCTCTGTCACCCATGACTAACAGCACATCAGGGAGTCTGCTGGACAGCATGCGGTCTGCCTCTACTTCAACACTGTTTGAGGGGCTTCAGTCCACACTGAAGATGAGAGAAGGAGAAATCGCTCAACTACAGGTGAGGACCTCGGACACTAAACAGCATCATATGAAAAGGGTTATCTTCTACTGAAAAACATTGGTTTTGTACAGTCGAGTAAAAACTCTGATTCTTTTGTGTTGACAATCAAATGTGCTTGGACATGCTAATGCTAAGTGTACTGCACATAGCGCAGGTTATGTTGTTAAAACAAGCTGTGGGTTTGTGTATCAGTAACTGTTTATTAAAAGCCAGGTACTTTCCCAAAGTCTGAAATCTCTGATTTGATGATAACTTTGTTGGGGGAAAGTCATATTGAGATCACTTGGTGGTGCCAAATGGTAGCCACACAGACCCTGGCAACAGTTCCACAAAAGTGTGTGTGAAGCAAATATGTTATATATATCATGTGATTGTAAACCCTGCAACAATTCAGCGCTATAAAGGCTGCCATTGCACGCGTAATGTTTGACCAATAAACCATTTCTTCTTCTTATTATTATTATTATTATTATGTTGAACATGTATATGTGTTGTAGGAGGAGATAGTGAGGTTAGAACGTTAGCGTGCTGCCATGGCTGATTACAATGTTGTTATAATGTGCTGTTATAATGTTATAACATGATGTTATAATGTGTTGTAGGAGGAGATAGTGAGGTTAGAACGTCAGCGCGCTGCCATGGCGGAGGAGCTGGTGTCCCTGTCCTCACAGAACCAGGACCTTCTCACACAGGTGGAGCAGGTCCCCTCACTCACAGACAAGAACAAGGTGGGTCAACGTGTCTTTCAACTACATGTATGCTAGCCTTGTTAGGTTGGATGTCAAGAATATGCTGTATTATGAAGCAAGTTTAAGCTGCAATTTCCAACACAACAAATCGGACTCACCCAAATTTTTGATTGTACAACTCCAGTCTTTGTCAAGGAATGAGCAATCCACTGCTTCCATGACATCACGCAGATAACACACGTGACTCCGTGAACAGTGGATCATAGGTTGCAGAAAGTCTGTGGCGCCCCCGTCTATGCTGCAGCACCCCCTGTCTATGCTGTATTTTTATGCGTAATGGGTAATCCCTTACAAACATCTAGTCACAAATGAGGTGCCCATCTCCAATTATTTCAGGTGCACAAAAAAGTGCATATGCATCCAGGATTTGAAGTGCTGTCTTGTACTAGTCAGGAACTGTTGCTACCTTGAAGAGACGTGTATGTAGTAGTAAGTATGATGTACAAAATTTACTTTTCCACTGTAGAACCTGGAACAGAGGTACAACGCCATGCTGCAGATGTATGGAGAGAAGGCAGAAGAGGCAGATGAACTGAAAATGGACCTGGAAGACATCAAGGCAATGTACAAACAACAGGTAAGCACATTCTTACATTTGAACCTGTACATTTGAACCTGTTTGATATTTTTCTTGAATGTTTAATAAAATTATGAAGTATTTGACAGCAGTCATGCAGTAAATATTTCAAAGAATGAGTTTTAGTTGGTAGGTTTCAGTTATCAAATAAATTCTTCAGTACCTGAGTATATACTTTGTAATACATTTTGTGTATACTTGGACTTGTTAGATACATTGTGTAGTACAATTGAAGATCAGTAAACAGAAATTTCAATGTACTAATGACGAAATGTGTGTATTGTGTCAATGGAAGGCTTTTTGAAAGAGTCAAAAATTGTTTACATCCTGCATTTTTCATTCCATCATTTTGTGGCTGACAAGGAAAAAGATAATGAACTGCATGTTACAAAATTTAAAAAGCTGTAGTTGCTACATGTACTAGTAGTCCACTGCAGTACTTGTGTGATTGTAACTGTAAACTGTAACTTTGTCCTGAATTGTTTCTACTTCTGAACTGCATTGAAACTCAAGGACTACTTCGAACTGATGACCACCTTGCCATGACACTTTAAGTCCCGTAAACTAAAAATGAATTTGTCTCTGTACACAGATAAGTGATCTCCTCAACAAGGTGACATGATGAAGATGCAATATAGACATTAGGAGACTTTTATGGACTATTCTGTGGTGAAGTGTGGGGAGTGAGCTAGCCAAGATGTGCTGCAGGGACCTTCAAGGCTTCCAAAACGTCTTGTAGAACAAGCCTGAGATTACCAGAAAGTTATGCTCAAGTGCTGAATTCCAGCATGAGGTTTAGTAATCTAGGATTTAGGTTAGAATTATAATGGTAAAGCTGGATGTTCAATAAATCTACATCCTGGTCTTGGTTGTTCTACATTACTCTCACTGGTATTCATCCTTCTAGCACTGGTTGGCTCCTTTGATGCTTTGATCCTATATTTGATCTTTACAAAATATGTAGTACTAGCACATAGTCATTTGGGTATCAAGTATTCTTCAAAGCAGTGTAATACTAATAGGTATTGAGCTTCCAAATGCCAGTTTTGTTCCAGTTACCTGGGACATAGCCAATCAAAGCCCAGGCTTACACTGTATGCAAATATTCAGTTGCCAGTCAGTCTTCTAATAACAGGTGACAGTTGAGTGGGGAAGCATTCAGAGGAGTGAGTCAGAGCTATACTAGGAAAGCTACCAGCTAGCTGTACATGTGATGATAGAAACGTACTGAACATTGTGAAACTTTTGCTGTGGTTTTATTTTATGGTAGGAGGGAAAGAAATGTTTTCACTGTGTTTTAATCAGGTAAAACATCAATTTGAGTATTATAAGTTGACATACAAGGAATGCTGTGTAATGAATTTGCAATTAAGGTCACTGTAAAAATAAGACCACAGAAGTTTCCCTCTAGCCACATGCAGAATGATACATGTATTTAAAAATTGCAACATCCGTGTTAACTAGAACTAAAATCTTTCAGGTGACATAGAGCTATTTTTCTAAAAGTATGTCTTCAAATGTACATTGTACAAAAATGTACATTGTAAAATTCAATTCATCCCCTTGGCATTACCTATTTGTCGGGAAAGGATGCTACTTCTGGCCAAATCAGTTTGATACGTGTTTGAGTGGATGAGTTTTGCACATAGTTGAATGTCTTGTCAGAAAGAGTAAATGCTACCTGCTCTATCCTTGCAGCAGTTTAAGTGTATAAAAGATGGCGAGATGATATCAGTATAATTGGTGCAAGATGGAGGAAAAGAGTGAAAGCCTGCAGTGAATAACTATCTTACATTCATGAAATCTTGCTGAATTTTTGTCATTGCCAGGCGGTTGCGAATTTTAAAACCACCAGAATGGAGCGTTTTATTCACCCAGTTGTATCAGATGGGTAATATGCAAGAGCCAGATGCGTACAAATCACACAATAAGAGGATAAAGAGGATATTTTTGGTCCATGGACCAAAAATGCCCTTTTGAGTCAGGCCAGCTACAAATGCTATTGTACTAGCCATAAAAATGAACACAAAAACTTTCTTCTGGACTACATCATACTTCATTCCTATCCGATGCTGCTATACCAACGTTTTGGTAAGTTAACTTTACTTAGGTCGTTATTTCATTAAATAGTATAGTCATGTGGAAAAAATGTACTACTAGTGGTGATTTTGGTTTCAGTGCAATAGTCATTACAAAATTATTATCATAATGGTAGCTTTCAATCGTGTATTGACAAGATTTTACTTTTAAGATACTTGTGTACATTAGTTAAAAGTTGTTTAATTTCTGAAGCAATATTTGAAGGTATAAAACGTGGACATGTAAATTCTTGGTATTTTATTATGCTTTTGGAAAAAGTATGCGTAAAACAGGTTGATAGACGGTGTTTGGTCCATACTACAGGTAACATCAGTGCACCTTGATAAATACAGCAATGTAAAAGTCAGTGTCATTGCTGGTAAAATGCAGACTTGTATAATCTACATGTAGGATTATAAAGGCTGTTATAAGTAATATAGGGTTATCCATACTTGTACAATGTACGTGGTGTTTACAATTATTAAACACTCATGTTTACTTGGAGTTGCATCATGCTTGTTGGTCACTTGTTCAATTTTAGATTAATGTTCACAAAACAGAAGAATGACTGTATAATGTAGATATGTCACACACTGAATGTTTAACATGTTATAACATGATCACGTTTTAGTTTGTGTATCTGCATCTTGAATTAAGCATTGACTTTGTGTCACTGACGAAAGGTACATGTAGTGGATGCAACCTGAAACGTCTGACCGTTTCCAAAATCATATCCAGTTGCTTGAGTAACTGCTTTTTGGCATTGACTTAATCTCCATGCAGATCTTTTGGTGGGGGTAAGACAGTATCAAATTGGCCAGTCCGTATCCATGGATACAGACTGGCCAATTTGATACTGTCTTACCCCCACCAAAAGATCTGCTTGGAGATTAGCATTGACTATTTGTGTTATGCTACTGCAAAAGCATGCCAACTAAATTGCTGCACTGACATTGGACAGAATTGCATGTACATGTAGTTGTGTTCCAACATTGGTCTTTACACCTGTAATACTCACTGTGTATTTGATGTGCATAACCTTGACTGTAAGTGTAACAGGTGATGTAAATCACACCTGCTCCCCTCCAACGGGGGGGGGGGGGGTGGGGGGGCAGAAGGTTTACAGCCAGGATGTTTATATAATAGCCAGCACCCGGTAGGGCTGTCTCCAAGCAGATGTTTTGAGGCATGATTGTGACGTTTTAGTAGCCTCTACCAGGCTTCGGGATGCGGATGGAAAGGGTAGATACATAACATGCCAAGGGAGTTTGGTCGGCTGGAGAGAACAGTTTGCCGCTCTATTGGCATGCCATCTCTCTATTTCACCGATTTCTACTCTTTCCACCCGAAGCCTGGTAGAGGCTAACGTTTCAGGGCATTTAGGAAAACGACACCATTTTCCCACCCAACATCTGCTGGGAGATTGGGCTTTCCTAGCATTTTTGACCAGTTTGAATTTCATTATATTTCACGCACTATACCAAAAGGAGATTTTTTTGTACATGGATAGAGAGAAATATCGATGGATATCAATTATGTAAACGGATACCTAGTTTGCATAACTATTACGAAAATTGTGATCGTAGACCAAAAGCAAGACCATTGTGGCTCTCCTATGCCCTGTTTGAAGTTTGTGGTCTCAAATGCACCTTCTCTGCCTTCTTGAAAAGGAACAATTCCTGCCCTTGAGAGACCTTACGACAGCAGTTATTTTTAGTCAATAATGGACGCAGGCAGGCATACATGGACTTCGACATGCACTCTTTGACCTGGAGTAACCTAAGAAATGTCTGTGCCTTTGTGAATTCTTACCTTGCTTTATAGTTGCGAAGACACAGACCCACCCGGACACAACCAGATGAGCAAGATTCATAGTTTAGAATGTTCAGCTTCACGTAACTTCCCAATGCCACAAGAAGGGTATCGCCTAATCTCCAAGCAGATCCCTCTCGGTGGCAAAAAGACAGTATCAAATTGGCCAGGCAGTATCCATTAGCCAGAGAAGCTCCATTAGCCACCGACGGTTGGTGGGGATCAGGACAAAAAAAACGGCCGTATATAAAAAGGTAATGATCATTCCCCACAACCTCTGCTTGGAGAGTAGGTATCGCCATCATTTACCACCCAGGAGTCAGTCAGCTTTTATCGTAAGATAAGTAAACATGTTTGTCCCCTGTTGGGTCATTGTAAGTCATACTAGGCGTCGGCCGTGCGGGCATCCTCTTCAGGTCATGGCCACAGGTGAAAGGCTATATATTGAGAACGTGCAAAGTCGTTGTCCTCATAATTTAGCAAACATGGCAGTAACACTTGACTGGATAACTGAGTCCGTCCTGTACATTTTGCAGATCTCCGGGCTGACTCTGCAGTCTTTTCTCGTCTTCTGCGCGGCCTTTTTTCTGGCGTTTTTCCTCTTGAAGCCCCGCAAAAACCTGCCTCCGTACCCGGCAGGACGCGTGCCTGTTCTCGGGCACCTCCTCGCCTTGGGCCGAGCGCCTCCCCGCAAGCTGACGGCGTGGAGGCGGCAGTACGGGGACGTCTTCACCTTCAGGATGGGGATGGAAGATGTGGTGGTTCTGAACGGCTACACTGCCGTCAAGGACGCGCTCGTGGACAGGTCCGAGCTCTTCGCGTCCAGGCCATCATTTTACCTGGGTGATGCGATGACTGGTTTTGGAAAAGGTAAACTTTTTTTTATTTCAACATTTCATGACTGGACAAGGTGACGACACACTCAAGTTATATCAACTTATTTTATACCGCTACTAACGCAGAGGGCAAATACGGAACAGGACAATACTCATTTTCACTTGTGTTAAGTGAGGAAAGTCGTGTAAAGTGCCTTTTCCAAGGGCACAAGATCGGTAGCATGTCTGGATTCGAACCCGGGACGTCTGGGTTCCGAGTCGACACGACCCCACAAACTTCTATTCTACTCTTCTCCACTTAAGTCGTGAAACAGGTTCACACAATAACACTTACCAGACACCGATTCCTCCGCGACAGGGCTATTAAATGCGTAGTAAAAAATAGTGACGAAAAGGTTTCAAGCGTTCCAGGTTTAATTTAGCTATTCAGACCGTTCTTTTGGGGGCATGCTGGGCATGGGACCGAGGGGGGTGGATTTTGAGGCTCGCCCCTTGTAACTCAACAACCACTTATCGTTGGGCCACAAATTTTCAGAGATTGGTGTAGTAATAAAATTGATTTATAACAATTTTGATGTAATTATGACGTCATATGAGTTCATAATGACGTTAATTTTGTGATTTTGCGGGGGGGGGCTAAAACCGTCAAAAATAGTTTTTCTGTAAAACTCAGAAGAAGAAAACCAAACTTTTCCAAAAGCATCTATGCTGGAATATCAATGTCTACTAAAACGTATGTTGTCCCTGGCAACAACACTGGCGTCAATGACTTCTGGGATGGGAAACTCGTGAATGTCACGAGTTTTTCATCCCCTGAATGCATTGCGAAAACGGGTCAATCTTGGATCGTCAATCTTGAATTTTTCAAATTTAAATTTTTCAAGGTACAGTGTAAATGGACTAAAGATAAAGATGTTCATAGAAACGCTTCATGTGAAAAAAATACAGAGTTGTGATGAAAATTATTTAAAAAAACGTGGTTACATTGGAAATAACGGAATGGTCCGCCATATTGAATTTTGAGCAATGGCGTCATGAAATCAGCATAAATATTTAATGACAGAAATTACATATGATTATACAAGATGTTATTAATGTTAGAAACAAAGTGTAATTAAACATAAAACCCAGAAAATTTTAAAGTCAAAAACCCGTTGAAAATCTATTAGCTTAGCTAGATATTAAGAAGTTGTTGCCAGGTATATTTTAGTAAGTCACCAAATTTCATGGATCTAGCGCAAGTCGTTCAGCCGCAAACGCCCCCCCCCCC